ATGACATTCAATCAACCGTAAAAATCATATTTAGTAATATCGAGAAGAAAGTTAATGGAAGGAATCGTTTGTTAAACGTTCGGATCGAAGCTTTTGTGAAAATTTAGACATTTTGAAGAAGATGCTCATGTTATTTTTTTAAATGTTGTGAATGCTTGAATTTTATAGTTGTTTAGATCACTACACTGTAATTTTTTGTTCATTAATAAAATAAAATCCGTGAATAGTTCTGCAAAACATCGAAATATGCTATTATTACGAGGGAAACGTCATTAGGATCAGGATCAGGATCAGGATGAGGCTCGTGTCAATTTCGGAAAGTTCTGCAGGCCAATTTGAGACGCCGTGCCAATTTGCAAATGATGCGGAAGAGAGCGTTTTTTCAGAACTACTCCAAGAATCTGCATTAACTTATTTTTTTTCTTTCACGGCCTACGCTTATTTGATTAAAATAATTTTGACTCTAGTTTAATTACAGTACCATAATGCTAATTGATTACGATATCACATGAACATCATTAGATAGAGGTGATTTTTAATCCATTCTCCATAACTGACTGTCTTTTCATTGTCCACCACGTGAGAGACTTAAGAGTGTCAGTAATTCAATTGCTGAGCTATCTAAACTCATTCCCCTCTATTAAGAGGGAATACAGAAAGTATTGCATTCTGTAGTTTCATGTTCTTCGATAAATCTTTTTGTTAAGTCCTGGAAAATCACAAACCACTAACGTCAAAACTGACTATGATTACATTTATTTCAATACTACAATTCTACTCTCAACTAAGTTAAAGTAATGAAAATTGCAAATAAAGAAATTCATCGGCAATTATATACATCCTGAATCGTTTTCTTTTCTACCAAAACTGATGAAACAGTTATCGTAAATTTATTGAATACACTGGAACATTATAAAAATTCATCAAAATAATATCGCGTAATTTCTAGCCTATTATTTAGAAAATAATAGTAACGGAAAAATGAAACCAAATATTTAATAAAGTTATCTTTCACAACCTTATCCAGTACAAATACCATGCAATCAATTTTGACAAAATATATGTATTGTGAAAAGTACACTACAAGATAAGAAATAATGACATCAGCTGAATTAGTATCATAAAATATAGTTCGTTTGTGTGAGGAATTCAAGGCTTAAGCATCAAATTAAATAAAGATCGATGGATTAAAGTTCGATAACGGCAAGAGAATAGTATTAGTAATTTTAGTCTTTAAGACATACACGCTTCATCTTCGATAAGTCAATATCTTCGAATGGATACCAGGGATGGTCGAAAAGTCTGAAATTTTACAAATGCATTCATAACTGCAATCATATTTACTAAATCTTGTGCTTTTTCAATTTTGCTACTTATAACTAAAGAATTTCATATCCTTGTAATTTACGAATAGCAGAATTTACATATTACAGAGAACAGAATTTGCTCAACAAAGTCAAATAAAAACGTAAAACGAGTCAGAAAAAAAAATTCATAAAGCAATAAAAAAATAAAACTTACAAATCAAAAAGAAAAAGACGAACACGTGTCTTCACGTCCTCCAGTTGCTTAATTTCTTCTTCCGTTAACTTAAAATTAAAAATCTCGAAATTTTCAATTATTCTCTCTGGATTGACACTTTTCGGAATAGTGGAAATGCCACGCTGTGTCATATGACGTAAAAGCACCTGAAAGAGATCCATGCTAATTTTCGTGACCAATAATGCTCAGCAGTTTCGACTGTTATAAAATTCCTAAGAAAAATGAACTTTCGAATACTATATAGACCATATAGAACAAAACCAAGGTTCGAAGATTCCACGAACATATATACCTGAGCTGGTGATTTCTTATACTTTTCGGCAAGTTTTAAAACCAAAGGATCCTTCATGGGTTCACCAATGGGCCAACTAAAGTCCGGATTAAAAGCTATTCTTCCAGGTGATCCAAGCGTTGCATAGCTTGTCATCGTGATATTATTCTTCTTGCAAAATTCATGAAGTTCTTTTTGCGGCCAATAGAGATGTGCCTCGACCTGGATATCGGATGATCTCATAAAAATTAATATTCTACAAAAACGAAAGAAAAAGTATTTGAATAATTCAATATCTATATATCAAATTTCAAATGCCAACTACATGATCCCAGAAAATGCTTCTTAGAATGCCGTAATCTTTAAATAATCGAAATCACCTCATTAAAAAATATAAACAGTTCTGTTATATAAACACTGAAGATTCATACCTGTAAATTATGTGGTTTCACAGTTGCATGGTCGAGCACATATTGCATTTGTTTCTCATTGAAGTTCGATAATCCAATAGCCTTAAAATATGATTATACAAGAGAATATAGGCATCGAAAACAAGTTCAGTGAGAAAATAAATCTGATCAACAACATAGAAAAAAGATTGACCAACAATGTTTCGGAATACAGCACCAGCAAAACGTACTTTCAGTATTCCCGCCCCATACAACTTTTCCAGCACCTTCCAGGTTTCGATATGGTCAATCAATTCCGGAACTACATGTCCATCCTTCAATAGCAATTTGTAGTTATCCGGTGTATCTCCAGGCTGATGCTAAAAAAAATAATGACTTCAATACCATTTTCTAACAAAGTAATCAAACTACTTAACATACTAACAAAGACTGATTTATTATATTATCACTTAGAAAAATAGTTTCTTTCAAGCATCATAAATGTTTTCTGATGGTAACATACCGGGCAAAACCAGTTTTCTTGAAATTGAATAAAATGATTCAGTAATTTCAATCAGAGACATTAAATTTGTCTTCTGACTTCTAAATCGATCGATAACTCCAGTAATTGAGAAGAAAATACATACTTTGCATGGACATGGACAGTGGACAAGATAAAGATCAAAGTAATCCACGTGCAAATACTCCAGCTGTTTCTTAATCAATTCTTCGATCTCATCCGGTCTATGCACCATTAATGGTAACTACAAATAGAAAAAAGTAATGATCAAACTGTAAAGTTATTCAAAATTTCTTTAATTAAATAAATTAGTTGATAATTGGCTGATTTATCAAAATTTTCAATAAATTTCTTCTTTCAAAAAAATACAATTCTCTAGAAATTGACAGAATGATTTTTCCGAAAGCTTAGATATAATATCAAATATACCGAATTGAATAAAAAGTGTAAGTGCTACTGAATATATGGTTTCTAGATGATAAGAACTTACTTTTGTTGTGATAAAGATATCTTTTCGTTTTAATTTACCGGAAGTGAAATATTCTTGCAGTACTTTTCCGATGACAGCCTCGTTACCATAAACATAAGCGGTATCAATTAATGGATATCCAGCATCCAGGGCTGTTTTCAATGCTGTTGTTAAAGCTGCCGAATCGGTGGACTGAAATATTAACTGACTGAAATATTAGATGATAATATATAAATGTTAATACAGAATCTTCCTAAAAATAAATCATTTAGACAATGTATTTATCCTTGAAACTTGTCCTATTACTTGAATGATCCATTGGAGACTTCAGTCCAAAATTAAAATTTAACTTTGTAAAAGTAAAGCTATTTAATATATATCTTATCAACATGGAATTGAATATGAGGGAACTAACTACGAAAAAAATATTGATTGCAATAATATTAATTTAACATATATTAATTTTATCACTATGATATAATTAAAATCGGATTTGATTCTTCACATTTTAATCTAATTTGTTTGTCAAGCTAATAATGATGTAGATTACATTTGTTCCATCAAATTAGCAAAAAAATAAATACGCTAAGAATAAATCCAATAGAAATTAAATCTAATAAGATTTAAATAAGTATGATACGCATAATTAAACCGAACTAATTAGAAGCATATTTAAACATAACAACTTGACAAAAACAGTGGCAACAATTCTTTTCAATAGATAATTGATTTTTATGGTTATTTCAATTCTTAGTAGGTTTTCCACTTCCGACTAAGTTCATTATTTTTAAATAAGTTCTTATCCTGAACAATGGAAAGACTTACCAACCACGTGCCTAAACCAATGAGAGGTAAATCAGCACCAGTGGCTAATTTGACGGTTTCGTATTTAGCCATATCTGAAAAATTGAATATACTAATATATATTTTTGAAATGAATAAGCGGAATAACTTATTAATGTTCTATGATTTCCTACCAGGCTTTATTTTTCAGTAATAATTTTATTGCCTCATACAGTATTCAATATCGTGAGCAAATTTCCCATTAGTCAGGGATAAATACAAAACCATTATGCAAAGTGAAGCGAATTAAAGTTAAACCGTTCTTCACCAGTCGATAATCGATCTGACAATTTCACGGCTCCGTTAATTTCAACTTGCCAATTTAGTTGTGGGTGATGGCGGCTGCAGGTGATAGACATGACACGTTCCTTATTGATGCTATATGTCGAGACTATTCTTCATCCGTAAAAAAAAGAATTTAGCGCGCGCATATGAAGACGGAAAAGTGTCAATCACTATACCAACAATAATGTCCAAAGTAATCATAGTCAGTTTTGACGTTAGTGGTTTGTGATTTTCCAGGACTTAACAAAAAGATTTATCGAAGAACATGAAACTACAGAATGCAATACTTTCTGTATTCCCTCTTAATAGAGGGGAATGAGTTTAGATAGCTCAGCAATTGAATTACTGACACTCTTAAGTCTCTCACGTGGTGGACAATGAAAAGACAGTCAGTTATGGAGAATGGATTAAAAATCACCTCTATCTAATGATGTTCATGTGATATCGTAATCAATTAGCATTATGGTACTGTAATTAAACTAGAGTCAAAATTATTTTAATCAAATAAGCGTAGGCCGTGAAAGAAAAAAAATAAGTTAATGCAGATTCTTGGAGTAGTTCTGAAAAAACGCTCTCTTCCGCATCATTTGCAAATTGGCACGGCGTCTCAAATTGGCCTGCAGAACTTTCCGAAATTGACACGAGCCTCATCCTGATCCTGATCCTGATCCTAATGACGTTTCCCTCGTAATAATAGCATATTTCGATGTTTTGCAGAACTATTCACGGATTTTATTTTATTAATGAACAAAAAATTACAGTGTAGTGATCTAAACAACTATAAAATTCAAGCATTCACAACATTTAAAAAAATAACATGAGCATCTTCTTCAAAATGTCTAAATTTTCACAAAAGCTTCGATCCGAACGTTTAACAAACGATTCCTTCCATTAACTTTCTTCTCGATATTACTAAATATGATTTTTACGGTTGATTGAATGTCAT